ATTTCATTGAATCCTCTACACAGCTCTGTGAGGTTTACTCTCATTTAAAGATAAGAAAACTGAAACACAGGAACATGTGTGAGGTGCCACAAGAGGCACAGATGATTCAAACCCAGTCTGTCTGATTTCAGAGCCACACTATCAATCACTATACTGTATTGCTCAAATGAGATACATACACGTCAACGTAAATAAAATATATGGATGGTATAGCATTTGTAAAACTAAAGGACTTCTGAAATACCATTTTCAGAAATACCATTTTCATTCCTACTGTGTTATTCAGTTAATCAATATTCTCTAGACTTTAAAACCTTTTGCCCCAGGCCGCCCCTCCAAAAAAAATACCGTATGTATATTCATATGTGTTTATGTACGTAATATATATGTGTGTGTACATATGTAATAAGTATACATTATACAGTGATCTATTATACACATATGAAATATGTGTTTCATAAAACTATACTATCTACTATCTAAATACTCTAAATCTTTAAATAGTGTCTACTATACTATCTAAAACTAAACTATACTATCCTTACTACGTGTAATGTATTCTAATATATTCTATTCCACATCTTTTTTTTTTTAATGCTGGAATTGATTTCATGACCCACTAATAGGCATCACCTTGCAATTAAAAAAAAAAACAAAACTCTGCTCTAGACCATAGGTGCATGGATGTTTGGAAATACAGGCGGAAATATGGACATCCTGTGATGTTAGAACCACATACAGTCATCCTGGGAGACGATTAAATGAGATACATATATAGGAAATCACTTGGTATAGAGCCTGGCACAAACCAATATTTGGCAACTATCAGTTTCCACGACACTCCTGCAGCGTTACTATCCCCCAGCATTTAGAGAAGTGAAGCTACTCCACCACCATCATGAGCATTATAGTCAATGAGCTGCCAGCTAAGGCTAACTACCTTACTGTTTCAATTCTCGACCAACATCAAGGAAACAGAGCTGTGTTACCTACACGACCTTTCCTGATAAAAGCAGCTTATTATTTTCAAGAAAATCTTTTATGAGCCATTTCGATAGAAAAATTTCTAAAGTATATTAAACACTGACAACTTCTTAAAAGGACTATACAGAATTTAGCCTTTTCTCAAGGACCCACGGTCATAATCATGCACACAAAATGGTAAATTTTAGAGCCAGTAGATGCTCACCTCAGAGGTCACCTAATTCAAATCTCTCACTTTACAGATGCACAAACTGACGTCCCAAGAGGTTATGCAATTTGCCCAAAGTCACCCAGTAGGAAGGTCAAGAGATTCCCATTATGCCATGCTGCCACATCTATTATTGTACTATGCTGAGCACTATCTAGCAAGGTAGTCAGGATTTAGAAGCAATATTCCTGTAATTTCTCCACGTTTGTTATTTTGGTTATCTCATTTCTTTCCCCATAACCTTTAGCAATAAAACTCTTAAACCAAAAAGGATCTATGTGTTTATTCTCTGCAGGAAAAATCTTAAGCTATCCTACTCCACAGCCCATCTTAGGGGAAGAACTCCAAAATATAATGTGTGTGGTGTACTTGAGAAAGGAAAGGGATGCAGACTGAATCTCTATGTGGTCTTCAGAAAGCACGAAGGATGCAACGAAAAGCCCACCTTGGCTTAAGAATAGTTCTGAGGATGTGACTGTCAGGAACCCCAAACAGTTCCTGAGAACAGGCAATACAGGAAACTTCACAAGGGCAGGGACTAGATTCTCAGTAAATATGGGTTTAATTCCTTGAAAAATGATGTAGGTTTGCATTTTAGGTGTTTGTCTCTTCTTTGCCCATAAGGATATGAACTGCCACTTATGTCTAATGACACCCCCCAAATACACCTTTTGCAGAAGTTGATAACACTCCTTATATCTTCTAATACGCTCTGAGCATGCTAGAATCATTTCTAAAATAAGAATGAATATGCTCTAAGCGAGGGCCTGAGGGGATTCCCCCGTGTAAGAAGCATTCCGATATTATCACATAGCTCTTGTCATTTCCATCTTGCCTGCTCTTCTACTGAGTTGTTGGCTCTGCTGCAGATTACACAGGTCGCCAGATAAGTCACCTCGGGTGATGTGTTATGTTACTGGGACTATTTTTAACCTGAAGCCAACGACACTTCTCTACAACCCACAAAACTATCATTCAAATGTCTTTTTAAATGACAAAATGTCTTTAAAATGACAACTGTGTACCCAAACTGAAGGCCACTTTGTAGACACTTATCACATATCCATTTGTGTCTTCTCCCTTAAGACTCAGTTGACCCTCCTTCCTTATTCCATTTTATTTCATATTTTCCATGGTTCAAGTACTTTATCTTATTCCTCTGCCTTTGGGTGTCTGAGAGAGATTTCCTGCATTTTGTAATCAAGAGGAAATGTGCTTAACTAAGAAAAGACACAAAACTTTATTTTCCCATAATCTCTTCAAAACACGATCTTCAGGAAAATCTTGTTATGAAAAATGAAAAGAAATATATTAATTAAGGTCAAAGGGATCTAAAATATTATCCAGAGATTTTACTGATGAAGCAACTGTCTTGATGACATTTTAACTAGAACTAAATCTGCTAAAAGAAAAATTACATCTCATAGCCTATTTCTTCATGTTTCTGATACATGCATGATTAATTCTGCTTTTGTTGGTAAAACTGAATCTACGAAACACTGCTTTTCTTATGATTTACTCAAGTTAGTACATTTAGTAAAGCAAACACGTTTTAACGGCGACTTTCAGCAAACTATTTCAGAAGAGAAATAGTCCAAACACATTAAAAATAATTCCAATTAAGTATTGATTGGAATTATTGGAATCATTTATTTGGGAAATGACTTTCATCCAATTTTTCCAATGTGACGAACCTAAAAACAAAGCTCCATATCATAAATTTAAGCAATGTGCTTGATAAACTCGGAATGTGTTCAACATGGAGTGATATGAAAACCTTAACTTTTAAGATTAACTTCAAATAACTTCTTCCCATGCTTTGAGAAACTACGTTACTCTCACTGGAATAAGTCTAAAATGAATCTTTTTCCAAATACACGAGATGCCTCTTGAAGCCATTTTCTGTATCACTCACAGTATCTTCCTACCTCTATTATAACAGACTCCAATGGAATGGCTGTAGTCCATATTATGAACAGAACCAGAAGGCAAAATTTATTATAAGAATTAACAGCATTTAATAATAAGAATTAGCACTCATCAATTAAAACTTGAATCCAGATAACAAAAAAGTCTCTTAATGGTTCAAAAAAAATTTTAAAACACCCCAAATTCCTAGGTAATAAAAAAGAAAGGCAATAATATAGATCCCAAGTATGGTATAACAACTATTCTAAAATGGATGTTGTTCTTAGTTTTAGGATAGACTGGATAAAATAAGAGAATAGTCTATTGGTTCCTTCCAGCTCTCATCCAACATCTGTATATAGCAGCTACAGCCAGGTTATCTGCACCCATGCAGTTTTCAGGTTGGGAATAAACATGTCCTCGCTGTTCTGAGAACAATTACCCAGGTGCAACCAGAACAAGAGAATTTTTGGTTAGACAACATCTAAAAGGCTATCTAGTTGACCCTCCCTATATTCAAAAACAAGAAAACTAAGACTCAGAGATTAAGTGCCTAGTCCTAGCAATTCACACAGCTAGTTAATGGCCAAGCATGGTGTAGAACAAAGTTTTCCCAATTATTTCTACTCATATGGGTTAACTCTGAGGGTCAAAACCACTGTTTCTCCTAGAAGGGAATGGGCCTTTGGAAATTTACCAGCTGTGTGATCTTGAGCAAACTGCAACATTTCTAAGCTCCCTTTTCCTTTTCTGTAAAGTGTAGAGAATACCTACTCTAACAACGCTGTTGTGAGGATTACATATGGCTTGTAGAGTGCTTAGCACATCGATTAGCAAACAATAAGCATTCAAACAGGTAGCTATTATTTTTACTCGCGCCCTGGTAACATGGCTGCTCCTACTGTTTGAGAGGACAACGAACTAAACTCATGAACACAATGGTCAGGGTCTCATCCACCAGACCCTCTCCGGCCTACCACATTCTGCAGACAGGAGAAAACTCCACCCAACAACCTATTCCATCCCATCTAAAATCCACTCTACACTGTTAAGAAAAACAAAATACCAATTGCTGCCAAATGTCTTCTGCCACGAGTTGTACGTGGAATTTGTCAACTAGAAATTGCTGGGGGTTTCTGACTCCACCCAAAACATGGAGAATAAACGATGGGAAAACAAGGGAAAGATAAGGTCACACACCTGAACTGGAACTAACAGCAGCTTGTTCTCAGCTCATTTCGTTGTGGGTAGACACGTGGGTGGTAGAAGGCAAAATGCCTTCCTTCAGCACCATAAAGCAGGAATGGCTACCTCAACAAAATACAATTCCCTAAGCTTCTCAACACAATAGAAAAGAATCCGTTTCCTCACCCCAGTGAATTAACACGCACAAGGGCAACAACTGAGCATCTTTCTCTGAAAACTGAGGATTAAGCTGTATCTGAGCTGCACTGCACCCTAGGATTATATAACTATATGAAAAATTCCTATGCAATGGCGAGACAAACTGATCGGGAATAGCACCTTGAAATCAACAAGGAGGGAATCATAATGTCATGCCAAAGGCGTCTCCACTGATATAATCCCGACCCTCCATTCTCATGACACTGCAAACCCACCTCCCTCTAAGTAAATTACAGGAATCACCCGCAGCAACCAACCTCAGCAATCGGCATCGACCAGATCGACCCCTACTCAAACGGCGCTAAGCACCGCGGGTCCAAGCCCCTCCCTGGAGCTGCAAAGTCCCGCGCTGATTCCAGACTACCTCACTTCCTTTCCGTCCTCCCTCCTATACTCGATCCTCGGCATTTCTCGCCAATCCTCGCCACTGACAGAGAAGGTAGGAACGAGATAGACTTCCTACACTTTGTCCGGGGAGTACCAGAGCCACACATACCCGTCCCTATTACGATCACATCAAACTCCGAAGGGAGATTATCCGCCATCTTGACAGGAAACGTGTCATGTGACTATTGCTTGTGGAAATGAGATCAAATTAGGCATTGCTTTGGTAGAAGGCGGAAGGGAAAACAGTGCATTCTGGGTATTGTAGTTCCTGGGTGGCGGGTCCAGGTAGGCGGCTACAGCATTATATTTGAAACGTTTAGGCGAATATTAAAAGCTCGATTCATTTTCCAGGCTGAGTGCAGTAGCACATTTAGCTTGGAGGTTTGGAGTAGAAAAAAGATGTAGATTTTTACTCCGATGGCTAGGATGAATGTGGGAAGACCTGGATACCCCTTGACAATGATGAAGCAAGAATTGCTAAGAGACACGGAGGGCGGAGTGAAATTGAAAGAGGATTGCTCTGTGAACAAAGGAAATTTTCATTCCAGCCTGGAGACTGTTTCCCCCAGTGTGTCTGTACTTTCTTTTTGGCCCGCGAGGCGTAATTTTTCACATAATACTTTCAAACTATATCTCGTACTTTTTTTGTCTGTGTGTCTCCCCAGTGAAAACTCACAAAAAAACCTCTCGCCCTAGTTTCGCCAGAATGGAACCCTTGCCGTGTCTGTATTTGTTCTAGTTAGTCCAAACAGCCACGCTGGCAATATATACTTGCAAAATTAGCCTTGCTTTACAGGAGGGAAAAACATATGAAAGCATAGTATTTGCTTGATAAGTGTTTATTGATTCTGAATCTGGTTTTCTATACATATACGAGAAGTCCGTACAAGATTCTCCTGATAAGCCACCGCAGAAATAATCAAGGTAAAATGGCCTTTATATTAAACTGATTGCATTTGATGAAGGGGCTTAGATTGTCTATGCGAAGCAGCTAACATAGCTCTCATAAGTATTTTCAAGGTCGGCCTCCTCCCCCCCCCTCCTCCCCCCACCCCTTGTCATTTAAAATACTTTGCTGTCTGGCAATACCAAAGCAAAAAAGAAGGGAAGGGTGCGTGGGAGTGAGGAAGGGTACTTTTTTGATCCCAGAAATTCATTGTGTAGTTATTTTGTAAGAGTTTCAAAATAATTCAGAGAGAGAGTGCAGTAGTGGACCTTCCCTCACACCTCCTGTCCTCTGAGCTGTTTGTGGTCCCCCAGTCACACTGTTGTTCCTTCAGCATGGAATAATCTTCCCATTCTCTAGCTAACATTTATCCCCAAGATTCAGCTCGGCTTCCACCACCTCCTCCTTTTATCTCCTCCCTATATTGGGTTAAATTTCTCTATGTAGTGTTACCACTCTGTCATAACCTGCCATATTGCACTGAAATTATTTGCGTTTATCTTGGTTCCTATACAGTACACATATCCCCAGACATACTCACAAAAATACACATCCAGATATACAGCGTTCTAAATTATAAGCCCCTGTATGATAAGGACTGTGCCTTATTTATCTTTTTACCCCCTGCCTCTAACATAAACCTGGTGCAGAGTAGGGATTCAATAAGTGTTTGCTGAACTGAGCTTAGTTCTGACTTCTCTAATACATGGTAAGTACTATGGAGACAGGGACTTAAGTCTTCACTGTGATGTCTGCCAACTACTATGCAGTGTCTTATATTCTGAAGATGCTCAATGCACGTTTGTTACTTTGCTGAAGTTCCATGAAAATTCTTTTTTTTTTTTTTAAAGATTTTATTGATTTTATTATTTTCCCCCCAAAGCCCCAGTAGATAGTTGTATGTCATAGCTGCACATGCTTCTAGTTGCTGTATGTGGGACTCGGCCTCAGGATGGACGGAGAAGTGGTGCCTCGATGCGCACCCGGGATCCGAACCCGGGCCACCAGCATCGCAGCGCGCGCACTTAACCACCAAGCCACAGGGCCGGCCCCATGAAAATTCTTAAAATTGTATTTTAATGGGTTTTTTTTCCGCCTCATTTCATTGCATTTTGCTATAATCATTAGCAACATTGTACATGTTTCATTAATTTCTTTTATAGATTATCTTGTTATATTGAACAATTCTCTTGTGATATGGTCCTCTGATGAATATTTTGTGTAAAAGAGATTCCTCTGAGAAGTGTAATATATTGTTCAGTAAACCACTCTGCCATTTGCTTTGATATGAAAAGAAAGTTTTGAGTATTATCAAAAGTGAAATAGATCTTATCTGTGAGACTCTTAACACCACCAGTGAAAATGGAAATTAAAGATTTCCCAAGGTAGACACAAGAAAGTTTCCAAAATCTCCTCTAACAGAGAGAAGCCATAGATGGGTGGTTAGAGGCATGATAAATAAAAGTATTTCTATCTTATTTTGGAGATATATGTGTATACATGTGTACGTGTATATATATATATCCTTTGAGTATATCTAACTTTCTATGGATTCAGAAATTTTCTAACAAATGCAATCACACTGTGAAGACACAACTCATTAAATTCATTCAATTTTCCTCAAATATTTATTGAATACCTACTATGTGCAAGGCACTGATTTAGACACTGGGATTACAGGAATGAACCTAAAAGACAAAAATCTCTGTCTTCATGAAGTTTATATCTAGTGAAGTAAAAAAAAAAATAAACAAGTGATTACTCTGTAGTACTAATTTTCCAATATGTTTTGCCCCAAATTTGAATTCCCTTTTTTCTGAGGCTGGAAAGCACAACTCTCATAAAGATAAAATTGCCAGCCTATATTTAGCTTCCTTTCTCTAAAGTTATCACACACTCGCTGGGCATGGAAAAGATTATTACATTAGAAAAATTTAAAGCCTCTGCATGGAGAAAATGCTCAAAATACCTTTTCTTTCAAATGTATTTTTGTAGATTTTTTGTAAAGTAAACATAAATATAGGAGTTGATAATATCAGTAAAATATCATAAAGCAAAACAACTTAATTTCTATATATTCTATTATTCTAAGGACATCTATTTTTGAGAACTGAAATATTTTATTTGGATAAGTCACAGTACAATAAGATGATGGATACCTACAAATATACTACCCTATTCAATCACTGTGACACTAATTTTGTACTTGATTTCCTGAGTTGAAAAACCACGATTCTATGAACATTTACCTTGTATTTAGAAGTTTACTCAACTGTGGGATCTGATGTATCATCGTTTACAAACCAGTAATTTAATAGTCTCTATCCCTGGCCTTTCCTTTAAGTTCCAGATCCATATACCCAACCCCTTACTCAACATCTCTTCTGAACGTGTTGAATACTGAACTCCTGAACAGTTCAACCCCGCTCCCAAACCTCTTTGTCCAATGTTATTTACCTTGGAAATGGTACCACTTTCTAGTCAGTTAACTCAAGTCAAAAACTTAAGAATTATCCTTGATATATCACTCTATTTCACCTTTAAGCCAATTAATCAGCAACTCTTGCAGATTTATCTCAAAGCTATATTGTAAATATATCTACTTCTCAATCTAGACTGCCCCATAATCTCTTACCTAGACTACGACAGGAGGTCTCAGCTAGAGCCCTTATTCATGCTTGCTTCTCTCCAGTCCGCTCTCCACACTGCAGGTAAACTTTTAAAAATTCAAATCTTATCATGTCCTCCTCTACCTAAAGCCTTCGTGATTTCCCATTGCTCCTAAAATACACTCCAAAATTTTAAACATGGTCTAAAAGACCCTGCTGAACTCTGCAGTCTCATCTCATACCTCTCACCCTTCTCTCTCTAAGCTCCAGCCATATTGGCTCTCCTTCGTTTCCTCTAATACCCCATGCTCCTTCCTGCTTCAGGGACTTCAGAAATGCTCTTCCGTGTGCCTGAGGTGCACTTTTATCCTTCTTCCCCCTTTCTCCTAGCTTAATCCTACTTTTACTCATTTTGCAGTTCGTTCAAAACGTCACATACTCTGCTGTCTTCATTGAGTCCTCAGTCTACCTTAGGTCTCCTATCACCCTGTACTACTCCTTTGTTGAACTTTTCATAATTGAAAATATAAAATCACTTATGCAATTACTTGTTTCATATCTGCCATCTTCCTAGAAGGTAAGTTCCACAAAGGCAAGGACTGTGCCTATATTATTCATCGTTATATTCCCAATACATCATTCAGTGCCTGGCACATAATAGGCACTCAAAATATCCACTGAAATCCTACTTCTGGGTATATATTCAAAGCAAATAAAATCACTATCTTGAAGAGATATCTGCAGTCCCCTGTTCATTGCAGCCTTATTCGCAGTAGCCAAGATATGGAAACAGCTTGTGTTCATCGACAGATGAATGGATAAAGAAAATGTGATGTATAGATATATAGATATATATCTATATATGGAATATTATTCAGCCTGTAAAAAGAAGGAAGTCCTACCATTTGCAACAACATGGATGAATCTGGAAAACATTATGCTAAGTGAAATAAGCCAGACACAGAATGACAAATATTGCATGATCTCACTAATATGTGGAATCTAAAAAAAAAAAATTTAAGTCAACCTTATAGTAACAGAGAGTAGAATGGTGGTTACTAGAGGCTGTGCGTTTGGGGAAAAGGGGAGATATTGATCAAAGGGTTCAAAATTTCAGTTATAAGTTGAATAAGTTCTAGAGACCTAATGTACAGCATGATGACTATAGTCAATAATAATGTATTGTATACATGAAATTTGCTAAGATTGTAGGTCTCAAGTGTTCTCACCACACAAAAAAATGGTAACTATGCGAGGTGATAGATATGTTAATTAGTTTGATTGTGGTAATCATTTCACACTGTATACATATATCAAAACATCACATTATACACCTTAAATATATATAATTTTTACTTGTCAAAAAAATAAATTTTTTGAAAAGCTGCTGAATGGACGGATGAATAATAAAGTATAGGAAATCTTCAGGAAACAACACATTAGTACTTCTAAATGGGAATAAAATGAGTTGATTGCCCAGTAAACTTGTTTCATCAGCTGGTTTTGTGTTTGTAATTGAACAAGTAATACGCATGTGGTTAATAAGTCAGCAAAAAGCTCATACAAAGACTAGAAAGACTAATAAATCTCCATACCCTCCCTGCCCCCTAGTTGTCCTCCCCAGAGATAAGCACTATTATCCATTTCTTGTGAATCCTGCTAGAGATTGTGTGTGTGTGTGTGTGTGTGTGTGTGTGAGGGGAGCAGTAATCCCTTTATTTCTTTTTTGACACAAATGGTAGCATGCTTTGAACATTATTCCTCACTTTACACCTTTATTTTTTCACTTAATGTATTTGGG